TGAACTTGAGCCCCCGCCTAAAGTTACATTCTCCTTGTTGGGACGTTATTTTCATCTTTTGGATGTTGACATGACATCGTTTCCGACCACGTTTCGTGACCCCTGCTTTTACAATCCAAGCAGACTTGTCTCTTGACGCTTCACAGACGGAAGAGCGAGCTGCATCCACCATTGCGTTATTCTCACCCCTAAATTGTATTTTTACGAGGTAATTGTTGGGAGTCTCTATCTGAAAGTTTCAATGATTGAATTTTCTCCTGACCACACAAAAACTTAGCAAAATTCAGTCCAAAAAAAGTATTTTGGACAGAAATTGCAATGCCATTACCACGTAAAAAAGAATAGAAAATTGAATTACTTTTGTGATCTTGAAATGCCTTAGGGACGATATAGTAAGAGAGATACGCCTGTGCCTTTATAGCGAATCCAAAAAAAGCAAAGATGAGAAATAAATAGATAAAAACAAGAAAATAAGTTACATTTTAAACGAATGAAATTTATGGATAGAAATTTCATCATATGGGTGCAGACACAGTTTAGCGGTGCGAGCATATCTTTTAGGAGCATTTGCATAATATTCAGTAGTTCCGCGTGCAAGCAAGAGACTGGTTTCAACGAACCGGCGCGCGCACTGATATGGGCGCACTACCGGGTCCGGCTCGAAACAGAGATTTGTATGGACTAATAATTCTTTCGATAGTTCGCCGGTCGGCGTGGCGCGAAGGGAACTGCCAGCGCAACAGGCAACATACATGCTATATCTACAACAATTTTTCAATTTACGAAAACCGAACTTAACTTTCAACAATAACGAAAAAAGTGAATTTTGGATGTAAAAAAAGTGTGTGAGAACTTATGAAATACTAAATTACCCGGCACGGTGGTTATAGTTTTACATATTTGCATTGCTAAAGTAACTGCTGTAGTGGGTAATTCAGCATTTTATAAGTTCTCCTACACTTTTTTTACATTTAGAATGCTAAATCAACTTCACTTTTTTTTCGGTGTAAAAACTGAAACTTCATAGGTGTGCCGAAACGAATTGATTTCGATAGTACATTCATCAGCGTTCATTATTGTCGTCGATTTGGGTTAGGCGAGATTACTGACTTCGAGAGCCGAAATAATACACACGATGTGACGGAAAATGAATTTACTTGCATTCCCCTAATCGCTATTCGTGCAGCGTTTGGTTGACGGAAAACGCCTTCAATTTAGAGGGTATGCAATACGGGCAACTCAGGGATTAGAATAGTGGTATTTAGACGTTGAGGCTTCGTGCGTCTATTCCCGGCCGTTTATGAGCAATGACCGATCGCGGCATGAGCATGGTGGGGCAGAACTTCCGTGCATGCGATAAAAGAATCTATCTTTGCATCTCTTGATCTCTCTGATAAGTTCCTTTCTTAAAATTGCACATCCCGCCGCATGTTTCGTTTAAATAGTATTAAATTTTCATGCAATGCAGCTGGGAGACGAATTAAACAGAGGATCCGTGCGGAAACTTTCTAGGAAAAATTTATTTTCCACTTACAGATAACGGAAAAAGTTGACGGAAAAATCCATTGAGACTTTGAAATAAAATATTTTGCTTTCAAAACAGCGGTGCCTGCTATATCATCGTTCAATATCTGAGATCCTTCCATATCTCCTTTGATCTTGTTTTGCCATTGATTTTTCCTGGCTTTAATAATTCTATCCTGAGGTCATAATTTAATCAAGAGGTCGCGAGAGAACAGTTTCACGATTCTACTTCATTCCACAAAGTTTTCCATAAAGTAGTCCTATATTCCCAATATATAATCCCAATTCAGAGCGTTATTTTTTCTCCGAAAAGAAACAAAACCGTTAGGAATTATTTCATAACGTGGCTGCAACCTTTTCCGGAACTCTTTGGATTCTCGAGAGTTTTTAACCGAAGACATTATCACCTCGGACTGTGAAAGAAATCTAGAGTCTGATCGTCTAGACATAGGGGTGCTTGGCACTGCCCAGGAACCAACCCCTGTTGCCAGTCACGGAATATTCTTGTGGAATAAAATAGGAGCAAATGAGGAGATATGCCGAGCCCGGTCAAGTTGAGTCTGCTGCCTCTATTCATTGGCCCCTCGGATTGCCCTTCAATGCGCGCGGTGTCCTCCGTTTTCTGGCTCCCTGGTTGTCTCCACACACTCCCCCGCTTCACACCCTCGCGCTGTCTGAGACTCTTTAGAATCCTCGCGGCACCTGGGACCGGGATTAACGTCTCCAGGAGGAGCTGCCGATCCGCCGTTTGATTGTGTTATCCTGTTATTCCAGGAGATGAGTTTAACACTCTTATAATGTGTTTATTGTATGTTGATCGTGCGCAGTGAGTCATCGGAAAGTCGTCGAACTGCAGTTCGGTTGCGTCTAGTTCAGAACTGAAATCAGGGTTGCCACGGAATCTAGAAAATTAAATTCCCTGAAATTTCCCCAATTTCTCTGTCACTTTCGGTCCCTGACAATTGAAGATACGCCAGATGCTTTAAAAGACGTGCTTTGAAATAGTTTTCAGACACAATTTGTTGTTAAAACCCATTTGAGAAAGGAAATATAGGTTGCTTGACAATCTTTCCCTGACATTTACGTCACTTCCCCTGACATTTCCAGGGTTTCCCTGACATTTTACAATTCCCTGAAATATTTCGGTTTTTCCGGTATTCCGTGACTGTTGCAACTCTGTGAAATTGAATAAGTGGTAACACACCAACTCGAAGAAATGAAAATAATCAAGAGGCCCACAAAAATGCACGTTAAATGTAGAAGTTTGTAAAAGACAAAAGTTTTTGGGGCCGAAAGACAAATAATTGAGGACACTTTAAAGGTCCAAGTTGGAAAAGATGCGTTAACTTCGATGACTTTCCAGAAAATTGAATGTATCTTATGAAAATTGATCATTTTCGAGTTACCGAGTTGGTGTGTTTCCGTTCTAACTGATTCAAATTTAATCGTTTTCTGTTTAACGGAAGCAAGTCCAAAGACTCATGAGCCCTGGCCTTTGTTGATCACGCAGGACGCCAGGGCTCAGTGAATTTCTGGTAATTCGAATATTACTATGCAGAGCTTATACCTCGCCGAAGAAAAATGAACAATGGGTCTTTGATGTTTATGGTTATAAATTGCGAGGCAGAGATGCACAGAACCTTTCTTAGAGAACTGCTTTAGAAATATTCCAGTTGCTGCTGTCTCGAGCATAAAGATCGTCTGAAAATTTGAACGTTGCCAAATTTTTACGTAAAAATTTAAATTTTCTTTAAAATTCTTTAAAGTTTTTCCTTCAAACTTTTGGAGGAACTTTCTTTGCAATTTAGATCGACGTCCCTTAATATTTCAAGGAAAAATATTCATATATTCTCTTAAAAAAGGATGTTTCATCGAAGGAAATCTGGGAATAATATATTCGAGCGTACATACGACGTTCTTCCCAGTGGCGTGGCGTGGTTTGCGATTTATCGATTGATCGGCCATTTAAACCCAAGGAAAAGTATCGATAAAGAGGGTGTTCACAGCGAACACCTTGATAATCGATTCTTTACTATGGATTTAAATGGCATAACAATCGATAAATCGCAATTCACGCCACGCGACTGGTTCTTCCTTAATACGACAGTCGGGTGTTGGTGCGAGAGTGCCTTGCACGCGCGTGGGATTTCATCGGTGAGTGAAGCTTGAGCCGATAATATGCCGTGGCATATAATATGTCCTCATACAATATGCCTTGAAAATCTCGAGGAGAACTCTCCTGAGATTTGGATTCCGTCGGGCTCGAGAGGACGTGATTTAAAACAATCCCCCGACGACAGCGCCGACATCACTCAAAACCCCACCGGAAAATTAAAATAACCACACAGCCTGTGTGGTTCACATCTGATGAAGCACTATAGATAAGCTGATCCGGACCATTAACTACTGCGCTCTTGTATGGATGGCGCGAATGCGAGAGCACTTATCACCGTGGCAGCGTTTCAAAATCTCTTTTCACGCCGCATTTGTATTTCTGTCTATTTTATATAATTGAAATTATGTGTTTTTTAATAATATTTTTCTTTTTTAAGAAAAATGCTCTATTTTTTTGGCATGGACCAGTTTTGAGTGTCATAGAATCGTGATTTTATGAATACGTGCTGGTGTGGTTAACAGATTGACAAAAATTAATAAGAATCATTTAAACCTCGAGAGTTTGAACCTTAAGTAAATGAAGCCTGCCTTAACAATACAAATCTATGGCAATATCTGGAGAAAACCGACTGCATTTCAAGCAACTCATCAGAACGTGGAAAGAAGTATTCATATTCCCAGCGGAATGATTCTTGGAATTTATAGACAAAGCTATAGACAAAGAAGACAAAGGAAAAAAGCAGCGATCCTCGAAGTGGTTAGTTTTTATAGGCTAACGAGGAAAATGATCGAATGACTATAGGATCCATCGCAGGTTAGTGGATTACTTAGTCTGTAACTCGTAGCTCCTTTTTCCATTGCAACCTACCACTTCCACCACTAGGATCGTTCCAGTTTCCCTTTTTTGTCTTCTTTGCCTATCGCTTTGTTTATCCATTTCAATAATTCTCCGGGAGAATCCCCGACGAATGTGAGTACAAAGTGGAATCTACTCTCTTTGCGGAGTGAACTCAGGCGTGAGATTCACTCCGAACTTCAAGATTTTAAGTCCTCGATACACGATCAAATTGCCGAACCAATCACCATCAAAGTGTCGGGAGTCATCAATCTGAAAATCATAACTTTGCTTACTTTTAAAATAAAATCTTAATGTTTCGTACGACAGGAAATCATGAATGTTGGCACCTCATTCTTATCAAAATTTGACGGCCCGTCCAATTTTGATCGAAGAGGACTGCTGCATGGTGACCATCAGTCATGAACTGGTCTACTTTGATCAGAATTGGTGCGGAATTTGATCGCGTATTCAGATCTTTGGTAAAAGACCTTTAGTATTTAGAAATTTGACGAATTGATCTCACCTTGTGTGTCAAACAGAAAATGCTCTCAAACCGAGCATCCAAGTTGGCGTTCCGCGTTACTTCAAGGCATTGTCAGCTCTCATCTGGAACAAAAAGGAATCCACACGATAAGTAAAACCATATTTATATTATGTGAAATGCCTTCAATATACACAGAAAAACCGCTTAAGTACTCATGCCCAGAGAGGTATGTCAAATTTAATGACATAACTCGTGATTTTGGATGGATACTAGCCCAGTCCGAATCCGTGCCTAGTTCTGCCAGGGTGCACTGCCATAATAGCGAAGAGAGCAGTAAGTACATTTCTGCATGAGCCACGGTTAGCATATGCTTTTATGAGTCTCGAGGTTCATCCTAGCGTGCACTTACTGCTCTCTTCGCTATCACGGCAGAATAGGGTTCATCTCAATGGCTAATCGGAAATCCGGATGACGCCACTGTGGGACTTTGAAGTCTTTTTATTACTCCTTGTGCCTAGCTTGACTTCGGAATTTCAGGAGTGCAATTGGATTTTTTCCAAAAAGATTTCTAGAGGGCAACTAGTTCTTGCAGTTTTTCATAAACTATTTGAATGAAATTCAATTCCAGGTCGACTTAAAATGCAAAAAAGTGCGCGTAAAGTTGAATTTGATACCTAAAGCTCTTTGCGCTTTGGTAATGTGTGCTCACATCTCGTAAAGAAGTGTTATGCGCGTTTCACTGCCCGCCGAGCTTAAATTGGACTGCATTTTGCAATTTGGAACTATAGATTCTGACCCGGTTTAAAAACAACGTATGTGCCATTGGTTTCCCTATGAACATAAGTGTTTTTTCAGATGAGCCAGAATCTATAGTTCCAAATTGCAAAATGCAGTCCAATTGGGTGAAAAAAAATCGTCCTCCCAAAAATCACCTCGGAAATCTGGCGTTCGCACTATATCCAAGCTGTACTGTAAACATGTAAGATACATTTGCCACTTAAATTGTTATTATTGTCCTTGGAGGAAAGTAGCAAATGGACTACAGGAGTAATGAATATTTTACTATGCACTGCCATGAATATCATTTGCCGCCTTTCTTTCAGAATTAAGATGTATCAATGAGTCTCTTCACTACGAGATAGTATGCAGTCTCGCGGGCAGCGGCCGGCGCACACTGGATCGAGTCAATTAGAGAGGTTGGACAAGAAATTTTTGACTAAAACTGCAAATGATGATGTTCACTTCGTCACAATTTAAATTTCAATGGGTGTTCATAGAAGAAAATTGTACGAAGAAACCAAAAAAAAACCACATATGGAACCGCAAAATTTTGCATAAACGGAGTTATGAGCTTTTAAAGTTTCCAAATTTTGTCCGACCTCTCTGATTGACTCAATCCACTGTGCGGCGGCGCGGAGCGGCTACCCAAGGCGCAGTGCTGGTAGCGCCAGCGCCGGGAAACGGAAAATTACAAAACGATGCCAACTTTATTTTAACGTTCATGAATTCATCATCTACAATCAGATAATGGTGCATTGAGCACCGGTTTGGAGATTCAGTCCTTCATTTGAAATCTGCCAAATTGTGACACCTTGCACTGACGAATACTCACTCATACATTCGCTCCAAGGAGGAACTTTCCGCCAAAACCACGAAATAACAAAGGTCATGTTGGTGAGCAGCATCAGAGGATCCCGGGCTAAGTGAATGTAATTTTCAGGTAATTACGATAGGGAAAGTAATTATGACAAAATTCTATGTTCATGGAGCAGCAAACGCCCTTGCAGTTTTGCCTTGATCTTCACATACATTTGCTGCAATTTGCAAACTGGTGATCCAAGGTTCAAACAGAGCATTTTGATCACGGGTGGAGGCTCATGCCTACCCGCCATTAATTTATTGATATAAGTGCCAACAGTGGTTTGTGGTGGTAAATTCTCACTAACAATCCCATTATGTCTAATGCAAGTTTGATTAAATTCAATTTTTGCGAGTACCGATTCGACAGAAAAAATTAAGAAGACCTTACGCAGCAAAGACACTATGAGCACACTGGAAAAAAAACACATTGGATCTAGAGTCCGGACTCTTAGAAACATCGTCAAGAAAAAGTACTCTTGATTCAATCAGAATCTAGCTTAAATCAAAAACCAAGCCTCTTAATTTAAGCGGATTTCGTTTTGATTCAAGCAAAAATCCGATTGAATCAAGAGTATTTTTTCTTGTCAATATTTTCAAGAGTCTGGACTCTAGATCCAATGTGTTTTTTTCCAGTGCACTATTGGATACCGAAAAAAATAATGATTCCATACTTGAAGAGGGAAGAGAAATGCATGATCTGACATTAAAAAATGTTGGAATAGGGACACAGAAGGACTTCGCTAAAGCAGGGGGAGATGCGTGTCTTTGAAATCTGGCGACTATGCGATTCGTGGAATTTTTTGTAAGGAAAGTGAACCAGCGTTTTGAGAAAGACCCCCTCTAGTGTCTAAAGAATGGTGCATTGAGCACCGGTTTGGAGATTTGGCTCTTCATTTGAAATCTATGTTCCGACAGGATCCTCATGTCCCCAAAACCTTTGACCTGGAAACTAATTCATGTAAGTAGCTATTATTTTACAGAGAGGTAAAAGGAGGTAAATAAACGAAAAGAAAATTAAGACCCTTATCAAGGATGAATCTATCGTAATGAATATGTCATATTTTCATGTTCAGCAGTTGCTGCCTTGTGCTGTTGTGCCAAGTGAAAAATAATGCTGAAATGTAATTAGTATAGAGAAAAAAACACAAAATAACTCAAGCTTATGGTTGATTCTGGGGTTTTCGATTGTTCCATTGTTCCTTCGTGTGGAAATCAACGAGAACTATTTCAAAATAAACTGTGTGGTTGTTTTTTCGTTTCCATTTTCATCAAAAGTAACACAAGCATTTTCCTCAACCATTAGATAGTTCCTTAATTCAAAATTTGCTTCTTAATAGATTGGGCGGGGGGTACAAAATTCAGCCGATGCTATATTGAAATGTTGCAGTGTAATTTTTACAGATTTTAACAACTGAGACTCAAGGTAATGATTTTGTCAGTAAAATATCGGACGAGACTAATGTCTCTACGTCTGCATATACGCCAAGGTGACCCTGCCAGCTGTCTCAGATTTAATTTGTTAATGAACAATTCCCAAATATGAATGAGGCTAGTTTTGATTTCACCAGCTTGAAAGAGACTATCTTATTTCAGCTCAATTTCAAAGAATGAATCGGCAATTTCCTTAATTCATCCTCATCTCTTCATCGTTTGACTCTAATCATGTATGTGCTCGTGACCCCTTTTTTCAAAGCGACGAAACTTCTGAAGAAAAGTCAGCTCCATAGATTGCTCATACAAGAAATATGCGAAATACGCCAAGAAGCGTCATTGTCTGTGTATGAGCAAGGATCGAGTCGTATTCGGTGATCGATCAATGCCCGTGCGATAACTTTAAAAGAGTTTAGTTTTAGGATTAAACTGGGTTTAATCGCTATTATGGGTTTTAATTTTATCAATTTCAATACAAATAATGATGACCTTTCCGCCCTCAATTGAAATAATTGCTGAAACACACTTATAACTGTGAGACACCATGCATTAAACTTCCGGATACTACTGTTGACCGAAAATTTGGAAAAAATCGTATTTTTTTAAAAAAAATATTTCACGTCTTTCTAGCTTATTACATACAATCACCAGAGAAGACACCCACAAACATTATAGGTTTTTGGGGGAGGTATCAATAATCGGTCCTTTCATTAGTACATTGTAAGGGTAAGATCTCATTCAAAACATTCAGAATCATGTTGTGTTCAATTTTTCAAAAAACACGCAGCAAAAAAGATGAACGCAGTATCTTTAAAAGATTTTTCCTGTTCCCTCATCCTCCTAAAGGCAGCCCCTCTACGGAAGAATTCAAATCTCATCCATGTGTTTATTAATACATTAACCTCTGGCTCCAAAGAATCTGCTTCAGTTGTTTCTCGGCTTATTAAACTAAGTTGAATTCTTCATTGCACTTGGATTCCCTGTGAAGCTACACACACCGCTTTATTTATTTGCTTCGTTACAAGTTGATGACTATTTAAGGATGCAGGCTATTGGTTCTCTTATCTCCGACAAGTTGGTATAAATAATCGAGTAAAAGTGAAGAGAAAAAATTATATTCGACAAACGCGAGTAGAGACGATTGATAGGCGTCGGTCGAGCCTATAGAGAAGTTGTTGCTCCAAACGCAGGTCACATTATCACCAGCATCGATTCCAACTTGTCCGCTCGCTGCTGCGGACAGCTTGTGAGCTGAATAAAATCGAAAGGAGGACTCCTGTTGAAATGGTCTATTTATGGTGCGAGACGGCTCGCCTACCCACTGCACTGCCGCACTGAGGAAAAACGTCGTATGAGCATTCGAATGTTGCCAAATTGCCTCTCAGGAAATATTCATTTTTGAAGAACTTTATGAATATTTTTCCTTCAAATTTTCAGGCACTTTAGATCAACTTATGAGCGAATCCCTCCGAAAAATTCGCGGGAAAATATTTCAAAATTCTCCCGAAAATGCGTGATTTATTGAGGGAAATTTGGCAACGCCTAAAGGTTGATACGGCGTTTTTCCTCAGCACGAGAGTGCAGCCCAAGTTCAAGCCGAGAGTTGTCCAGAGTCCGTATTTCATCCTTCCTCGAAGCTGATACTTTTTTTCTCTTCGAAATCAAGTCCAGTGAAAGTTCCAGGCTGAAATAAATCATTGGCCGGAATCGGCGGAGGATCCAGGGATTCTTTTATTCTCTTGCGTTACCCCTACGAATGCATAGGTCAGCAGAGGACGGAATGGGAAGCTGCAGCGAAAGTTAAGCCCTTTATGTCCGTTTGTTTTAATTTTAGTGTTCTGACGTCCGAGCGGAGAGATGGACTATCCATAAGACGCTTTGCCGACGGCAAGTTGTCTCCAGATTCACCAATAAATCTAGGCCCGCGCCTGACAATGCCGCGCGCACTAAACTTGCTGTCAAATATATGTTTATTTTTTCATTCGCTGGAATTCTTACACTGCGCTTCTTTTTTCTAATATAGCAAACACCAACTCTTTCATTTCAATGA